TGTCAGAGGCGTCAGGCCTGGGCAAGGGGCCGATCCTGTGATTGGAGCGTGATGGGGGTCAACGCCTGAGGGCTTCCAGTATATGAGAGTGGGCAGGCTGGGCTGAGGGACCCCCCACCCCCCCGTGCACGAATTTCGTGCACCGGGCCCTTAGTCCTATATAATGAAAGCCTAATATGCAAATTGACTGAATGGCAGAACAACCAGTGGAACAACCGGTTGCTCTGACACACACTGACCACCAGAGGGCAGGCACTCAACACAGGATCTGCCCCCAGCCCTCAGGTCCAGGCCAGCCAAGATGGGTGTCAGTGGGGGGTGGGGCTGGCAAGCAGGCAGCGCCAGGCCGGCCAGGGTTGCCCCGATCACCCGATCACCCCGCTGGTTGCCCACAGATCAGCCCTGATCGCCGCCAGGCCTAAGGACCCTATCTGTATACGAATTTTGTGCACTGGGCCTCTAGTCAGTGATAAGAGAATCATTGATTGGCTGCCTCCTGGAGGCCTCATACTGGGGATTGAGCCTGCAACCTGGGCATGTGCCCTGATCGGGTATCGAACCATAACCTCCTGGTTCATAGGTTGACACTCAACCACTGAGCCATGCCAGCTGGGCCTCCCATATTATTTATGTATATACTAACTTATATGGACTTAAAACATGTTGTATAAATAAGATTATATTTATTCTTTGCATATTTAACTTACTCTGTATCTTGAAGCCTTTCTGTACCAACCTATCCAGCTCCATCCATTCAGATTAATGGATGCACAGAATATATCCCTGTAGCACAATTATTTTTAATACTTTTATTAATGGTACTTAAGTTATCTTTGGTATTTTTGTTTTTCCATACAGTCTTTAAGAAATGTCCCTGTACACACATATTTTATTTTGTGAGTACCTCCAAGGTAAATTTCTAGCAGTAGAAAGGTCAAGTGAGAGAGTATGTATATTGTTTATTTTGCTAGACATTGCTCAATATCCCTCCAAAGAGGTCGAACCAATCTGTACTCCCATCATCAGTGGATGAGGGTGTCTGTTTCCCCATACCCCTGTCAAATGTGGATATTCACAGTCTTAATTTTTGCTAATCTGAAAATATCTTAACATCCATTTCTTTAGTTATGAGTGAAGTTGAGCATCTTTGAAATTATTAATCAGTCTTTTCCTTTGTAGCTTTCTAGGTTAATTTCCTCTTTTAAATACTTTTGTACAGATTGCTACTCTTCCATTTTAACTTTTTTACAGACACTACACTTTGGCTACATAATTATTTCAGTTAGAATTTTCTGGAATTCTATTCCCTTTTTGATAATACAGTATAAGAATGTAACAAATGAATTTTTAGTTTCCATTCAATGTATGTGGATATTTTCTGAATGATCTTGTGAGGCAGAGAGCATATCTTACTGCGAGTCAGTTCTGCAAATGAATAAACTCATTTTCTTTAGCACTTAATCTCCAAATTCCAAAGGCACCAACCACATTACAGCCCCAGTAAATGTACTGAAGCATGCAAAGGAATTCTTTTTGCTACCTTAGCCCCGGGGATTAGGCTTTTGTATTTAGAAGATTATTAATGTTTATGGAGTTTGTGATTAAATTTGATAAATAAACAAGAAAAGGGAAAGAATTCTTTGGAGAAATAGTCTTTTTTTGTTTTGTTATTTTTCTCTCCCTTTATTCCCCTCTGAATTAAAATGGAAAAGTTTCTTCTCTTTTTCTTTGTGACACAAATGAGGTTAATTTCTTTCCAGCAAAGGTTAGTGACCTTGTGGCAAGCGTCTACAAGACCATAAAAGCAAAGCTGCCTCTGACTTTGAGAAGTATGTCATTGTACCTATCCAATAAAGATACTGAGTTCATCTTGTTTAAACCTGTTAGGGTGAGTATCATGATAATTTATTTGAATGTTGGCCAGTCTCTTCAAGTGTTCTGGCCCTGTCCACTATTTTCCTCTTCCTGTAGATACTTAGAAATAGTATAACTCTTCCTGCTGGCATACTATTCTGGTAAAGTTAACTAATAATCACTGTGATTCTTGAAAGGTTTACAAGCAGCATTTTTCTGATTATACCTCTCCCCGTTCCCCCATCCTCACTTTGTGACTGAAGTACTTTCTCCCTGAAAGTAGAAATTAGTAAATAAATACATAAATAAATAATTAGAACTTCACATTGGATATGTGGCCCAACACTGGAAAGAGCAGCCTTTAAGGGATTATGCCTGTGTTACTGGTGAGTAATGGAAATAAATGGCTGTAGCAGCCACTAAGGGATTAAATGTCAGAGCAGATTTAGAACTCATAACTCCAGCTCTGCTTTGGGCTCACATCCTTACCCAAGGCGTTGGTTTGTTTTTAAAGTACAGTTTGTGTCTAGGAACCTGATTGTCTTTTGTTAAGAAATTGCTGCTGAAGGTTCTCTGGGGGACAGGACTTGCTATGGTTTGGTTTTCCCAGGAAGCATTCTATGATAAGTCTTACTTGGGTTGTGCTAGCATGTGAAATATTAAGTACAAACTATGTCTTTGGTAATCCCATGAAAGATACATTTCCTCCACTCATTTTGTCAATTAATTACAATTTAATATTCTTAGTGCTTCATGTTTAAATGGCTGTAGATGTTTTTAGTGACTCACTTAATATGATTGCCTTTTCTCTTTCTAAGAATAATGTTCAACAAGTCTTCCAGAAGCTCCATGTTTTGTTAAAGGAAGAGTTCAGTCCTGAAGATATCCACATCATTGCTTGTCCTACTATGGAACAGGTAATCCATAGCCCGAAGATTCTTGTTATTTAGTTGTTTGAGTAAATACTGTACAATATTTTATTCTGATGAGCAAGAGGTTCAAACTTTGTCTAATTTTTGATGATGGTCTTGTAACTGGACAAACAATGGGTCCGTGCTGCCTGTCACTACTTGAGCCAATTAAGCAGAAACAGGGTTGAGTCATATATAGCATTTATTCCAGTATTGCTGGCAGCAGGGGAGAATAACAGGTCATCCACAAAAATCAGCTCTGCAGCCCACCATAAGCCAGCTGCTTATATTGGTAAAAGTATAAAGGAAAGTAGGCAAAAGGGTAAATGGGCAGTTTACAGATATGCAAAAGGAATGGGGTTCTTCAAAGGGCTTAGTGATATGCAAGGTCTGGGGTTACATGGGGAAATAGCCAAAGGATGGGCCAAATGGGCAGTTAGGCTGGAGATTTCCAAAGGCCTGCAGGTATGCAAAAAGATCTAGGGATCTTCAAAGGGCTGGCGATTCTGGTTTCTGGCTCTGGTTTCTGCAACAAAGTTGTTATCTTTCCATGATAATGGGCAGCTCCAAACGGTGGGGAGGAGGGGGGGTGGGCGGCATTTCCAGGTGAGCTTCCAGGTCCTGTGTGCAGCTGCCAGCCAAGTTAGAATGTGCCTTCTTTAATCAGAACAAAAACAACCACAGTTAACAGAGCATGATTAATATTTATTACAATACTACCTGGTTCCCCAACATTCTATTTCTGCCTCCTTTCAGTTTTAGAATTTTCAATGGCTTTTTAATTCTTTCTAATATTGAAAGTTGCTGTGTTTAAGATGAACTGTTTGTGAAAGATTCAAATAGTGGCATTTAGATTGCTGAATAATTTTGTTTGCAGTGTCATGAAAAGAGGCCCACATTTCAAATGAAAAAGAAAATTATTTTAGAGATAAGATGTTAGAAGTATTTGTTTTTAGAAAACTGAATATAGAACTTAGTTTGTGATTCATTTGGTTCAGTCAGCAACTTTTTTTAAAAAAAATATTTTATTGATTTTTTACAGAGAGGAAGGGACAGGAATAGAGAGTTAGACACATCGATGAGAGAGAAACATCGATCAGCTGCCTCCTGCACACCCCCTACTAAGGATGTACCCGCAACCAAGGTACATGCCCTTAACCAGAATCGAACCTGGGACCCTTCAGTCCGCAGGCCGACACTCTATCCACTGAGCCAAACCGGTTAGGGCCAGTCAGCAACTTTTTAACCTATTATGTATTAGGAGTAGGCTGATTCTATAGGTATTTTAAGTTTGGTATAGTTTAATATTTTAGTATAGTAAGAACTAGAGAATTTGGGAGAAAGTGGTAAGGTTGGTGAGAACCTAATTGGAGTGGATGGAGACTGAGAGGAGAGAGACTAGAGGTAGAGAGTGTGGGTAAATCTTTTGAGGGATTTTTTTATATGGAGAAAGAAAAGATGGGGTGGTAGTTGGAGGAGAAATGGGTCATTTTTTTATTGAGATATAAATCATATACCATAAAATTCATCTATTAATGTGGACAGTTTATTGGTTTTTCATGTAGTCATTGAATTATACAACCTTTACCACTATCTAATTTCAGAATAGTCCCTCCCTCTCTCCCTCCCTCAATCCCCCCTTCTCTTCCTTTTTTTAAAAATGTATTTTTATTGATTTCAGAGAGGAAGAGAGAGGGGGAAAGTAAGAGAGAAACATCAATATGAGAATCTTTGATTGGCTGCCTCCTACATGCCCCTAACTGGAGATCAAGCCCACAATCTGGGTATGTGACCTTGACTGGAATCAAACCCAGGACCCTTCCGTCTGGAGGTTTACACTCTATCTACTGAGCCAAACCAGCGAGGGCTAATTGCAGAACATTTTCATGCCCTCCCCAATCCCACCTTTCCCCCAAGAAATTCCATACCCATTAGCAGAGTCCCCATTCTCTACTCTTCTACTAATCTTTTTGTCTCTATGGACTTGTCTACTCTGGCCTTTTATGACTGGTCTTTTTCTCTTAGCATGTTTCCAAAGCTTATCCATGTTGTAGCATACATCAGAACTTCATTCTTTTTCATGGCTGTATATATTCCTCTGTATGGAATATATACAGCCATGAAAATGGATCGTATTTTAGAAAGCTATCTCTGTAATTCTAGGGTTGTACATTAATAGACTTTTTACAAGTTATTTGAAGTGATTATATTCTGTGATTATACTATCTAATCTAATAAAAGAGAAGCGTGCAAATTGACCATACCTTTGCTACGCCCCAAGCCACGGCCACCAGCCAATCAGAGTGGCTATATGCAAATTAACCCAACCAAGATGGCGACTGGCAGCCACGGAGCTGGCGCAAGCAGGAGGCTTGGTTGCCCCAGCGATGGAGGAAGCCAAGTTTCCCACCTGCGCTGGCCGGCTCTGGCCTC